TTCCGACTTTCGAATCACGCAAAAGCTCGCCTATCGCCCATATCTCTTTCAGTTCTTTTTATTTTTTTTCGCTGAGAAGGTCGACTATGGCTCCGATGCCGGCATCTTCACATAAAAAAAATTGTTACAAAAACCGACGAACCGACTAGTTGGTCGATCGGTGCAAGTAACCATAACAGAGGTAGTTGGTTTCCTAAGGAAACCGACTAGGTCGGTTTTCGACGTCGGGGTCAGCCAAAAACTGACTCCGACTGACTGATGCTCACCCTTAGTTGTTAGGTTGTTTTGAGTTTGTTCCTTAATTGTAGCTAAACCTTTAGGTAGTTTCTAACCTATAATAAGCCATTTTGGCTCATCAATTCATCATCGAATTCTATCATATTCTTATTATCTTGAACCTTTATGGTATCATAGCTAAAATTCAGGTGTTTCATAGTGATAATGGTAAATAATACTTTAAATCAAACATTAGGGAAGTTTCTTATGGAGAAAGGGATAGTCCAACAGGGCTCTTACGATGACACACCCCAACAAAATGGTAGAGCTGAAAGGAAAAATAGGCACCTCTTAGAGGTAATTCGAGACCTCATGTTCTCGATGAATATTCCTACCTACTTATGGGGCGAGGCTATTCTACACTCTACATACCTTATCAAGAGAATGGCATCTAACTTTGTAACACCTATTCAAACTCTACAAAATGAATTTCCAAAATCTAGGATAATTAACCTATGCCTTCAAAAAAATTTGGATGCGAGCAATGTTTATTAGAAATCTTGATAGAAGTGCTAGCAAGTTAGATCGAAGAGCAAGAAAATGTGTCTATGTAGGTATTGCCTCAAATCAAAATGGATACAAAATGTTATGATCCACAGACTAGGAAGCTATTCATCTCTATAGATACACAATTCTTTGAAACACAACCATTCTTATATTCAGGGGGAGAATCAAATAGGACCGAATTTGAAAACACTAAGTTCATCAAACAAACAAAGTGACGAGGAATCCATAGAAAGTCTTTGTCTGTTGCAAAACCTAGAGTACATTGCCAGAAATCTTGACAAATAATTACAAACTTCAACACTAGAATTTCTAGGATCCGAAGAGAATGAGACAACTCAGGAGAAAATAGGTACTAGTGAAATTGAGGAAAATGAGGAAATAGGCACTATCTTAGAAAATAAAAATCAGGGTTTAGAAGTATCTAACACTCAAGAAAACAACATCATCATTCTAAAAATAGGTCTCGGTTGGAGTCAACAAGACTCTTTCCATATGAGAGAAGGGTGCCTCATCAGGAACTTGACACTATTGCTCCTCTGATAAGTCAAGAGTCTAAACCAAGAATGGAAGAGTCAACCGGTAATAATTCTATCTCTGATCTTGAAATTCCTATAGTCTTAAGGAAAGGGAGACGTTCGTGTGCCAATGTTAAACCATGTGTCTCACTCTAAACTGTCAAAATCTATTTCTGCCTTTACATCTAATGTCATGAACATTAAAATCCCTAATTGCATTCAGGAAGCTCTAAATGTTCTAAAGTGGAGGAAAGCTAAATACGATGAGATGAGTGCCCTGGAGAAGAATCAAACATGGAGGATTGAAGAGTTACCAAAGGGGAAACCAACTGTTGGGTGCAAATGGATTTTCACTCCAAAGTTTAGAGCAGATATAACCCTTAAAAGACACAAAGCTCGTCTGGTAGCCAAAGGATACACACAGACTTATGGGATTGACTACATAGAGATGTTTGCTTCTGTTGCAAAACTTAACACTAAGAATACTGTAATCCATTGCAGTGAACCTTGATTGGTCGTTGAATAGTTCGATGTAAAAAATGCCTTCTTAAATGGTCATCTTGAAGAAGAAGTTTTCATGTTACCTTACACTAGGGTTTGAAGAGAAATTTGAACCAAGAGTGTCAATTGATAAAGAAAACTAATTCTTTTTTTATTGATTCTAAAGAGTTGATACAAGGGTATAAATAGCAATTACAAAGAAGAAAATAAAGACAAAACTTTGCCTATTAGGATAAGGAAATACTTACCTATTATAACAAGGAAATCCTAATTTATTAAAACCTAAATACGATAGGAAATTAAATATAATTTAACAAAGAGTATGCAAATTGGAAAAAAGACATTGTATGGCCTCAAGCAAGTCTCCAAGGGCTTGGTTCGAATGATTCACCCAAGTTGTGAAACAACAAGGGTATTCTTAGGCTCATGCAGACCACACATTGTTCACAAGATTCTTGAAGAATGGAAAGATAGCAGTATTAATTGTCAATGTAGACGACATACTTATCACAAGTGATGATCAAGAAAAAATGAATAGATTGAAGAACAAACTCTCCCAAGAATTCGAGATTAAAGACTTGGGAGAAATGAAATATTTCCTTGCCATGGAAGTAGCAAGATCAAAACAAGGAATTTCGGTATCTCAACAAAAATATGTCCAAGACCTCCTCAAGGATGCAGGCATGAGTGATTGTCGACCAGTAGAAACTTAGGTTGATGCTAATAAGAAATTAGGAGACGTGACTCAAGGCACTCGAGTGGATGTTCAAAGATAGCAAAGGTTAGTTGGCCGACTAATCTACTTATCACATACTCGCTCGGATAATATTCTTTGCAGTCATGCATAGACCCTTTCAGGAATAGCTTGAGGAGCCTATCGAATGCTAAGATACTTGAAGGTCCCCGTCTTCTTTTCAGAAAGGGAGAAACCACGAATGTTGACTGGGGAGGGCTATAACAGACACAAAATCACATCAGGATATTGTACGTATAAGTGGGGAAATTTGGTAACATGGTGCATCAAGAAGCAAAGTGTAGTGGCACGAAGTAGAGTTTAGAGCAATGGCCAATGGTATTTGCGAAATCTTATGGATTCGCTGCATACTCAAAGAATTGAAACTTGAAGTGAAATCACCATTGGAACTATTTTGTGATAACAAAGCTGTAACCAAAATCCAGTACAACATGATCGCGCGAAGCACATAGAAGTTGATCGACACTTTATCAAAGAAAATCTAGAAGCTGGAGTAATCTGTTTTCTATTTGTTCCTTCAAAAGACCAAATTGCAGGATTCTTCAAACCAACCTTGGATGCACTTATAAGCAAGCTATGAATGCATGATATCTATGCACGAACTTGAAGGGGAGTATGAAACTATGCTTCGAATTTGTCAGAGTTGTTAGGTTGTTTTGAATTTGTTAGAGTTGTTAGGTTGTTTTGAGTTTGTTCTTTAATTGTAGCTAAACCTTAATTTAACTTAGTTTGACTTGATTTTGATGGAATAAAAATATTTGTATTCCAATATATTGATAATAAGAAATACATAGCCTTCTTATATAGAAGATAGGCTCAAACATAAATGGAAATAAAGATAGAATAATAATTAATATTGACAACTAATTTACAGCTAATATTTACAAATAATAAACCAACAGTTTGTAACCTACAAGTAAGCCATTTTGGCTCATCAATTCATCATCAAATTCTATCATATTCCTATTATCTTGAACCTTTAGAACAAACATTGAAGAATTTGATGAAGTGGAATAATTAGAATAGATAATTCCTCAATTGTACAACATGAAATAACCAACTGTAATTATTTATTTCCAATGACATTCTAATTTTTTCTTAAAATGTTTTTTTGGGACATCCATGCTATTGCCATGTTATTGTCTGGCTACAATATATATATATATATGTGTGTGTTATTTTGTTCTTGGATGGTTTCCTAGGAATCTGAAGTGAGAGAAGCTAGGAAGTTGAAATCATCTCTTAGTGATATTGGATTATTGAAGGAGAAACTATTGGAAGAAAAAGCCCGAAGGGGGAGAGCAGAAGCAGAGTTGTCTAAATTACAAGACCTTCAATTAAGTGTAAAGAAATTGGAGGATGAATTGGCACGCAATGAATTGTTGATTAAGGACATCCCTGGCATTAAAACTTATGAAGATTTACCGAATAAGATTTCTTCTCTCCAAAAGTATGTGAGTTGGTTTAGTTTTAATTATTGTCAACCGTCTCCTTCTTGTGATGCTTCCCCTACTGCTTTGGTTCCTGTTGTGCTCAATATATTACTTAATTTGTGAGGAAAAAGAAGCTGTATTCTATATATTTTGTAAACAGTATATGGTTGTCTTATATAGAAGAAAGACCAATAGCAAATAAGGAAAAAAAAAACATCACTTAATTACTGTTTTTTTTTTTTAACAAGAAACAAACTTTTCATTGATTTATGGAAAGAGTACAACACATTTATTAGTTGTTCATATTTATGTGTTATTTTTTCTTTCTTCTATATAAGAAGACCTCGTATTTGATTCAATAGATAGAACAAATATAACACTTTTATTTCTTCAAAATTTGGGGTACAAATTGGTCTCACATTGATCGGTGACATTCTCTCTCTTAGGACTAATGGCTAATGAGTCCTAATGCTTGGGGAAGGAGGACGTTTGGCATATAAAACCTACTTCTTAATTTTCTTCTTCTAAAGGGATATTGACAGGGTCTCACATTGATTGATAGGGGCATGTTCCTCCCTCTAGGACTATGGCATATGTAATATTTTATCAATAATGGTCCCCTATAGGCCTATATGTCTTAAAATTTTGTTGGAATTTCTTAATTGTTCTTTTGCAGACACGCTCGTCCCTTCAAGCATCTTGCTTGAAAAGACCGTTGTTGAAGAAACTTTTTGTTTACCATTGTCATCGACTCATACATTGCCTCATTCATTGTTCTTCTATATAGCTTATAGCAGGTCTCACATCACATCAAACGAAGTTTTACAACTTATATTAAAAAACAATATATTTTACACAATACTTTGTTGGGGACTAAAAGTTTGAACGAGTGAAAATATTTTTTATTATGATATTAGGACCTAGAATTTGAATGACCTAGAATTATTTGATAGACCCCTATTAAGAATGTTTGCGTTAGGAAGAACAGGGGCGTGAGGCTTGAGGCTTGAATATTCTATAATTAGATATGTGGGCCCAAGTTATTTACTTTGCAGGTTATTTCGGGGATTATGTGTTGATGTATATATTGGATGAGAGAGAGAAGGAGGGGTATATTTTTGGCTGGTCTGTTACGAAGGAGTGTAGAGAGGTAGGCAGCTCTCAAATTCTTTCTTGGCCCCGGTGGTTCCTCTCTGAATATCAACAATTGAAGTGGTTTCTATCATAATTTTTATTTTAGTTGCCCTGTAAAACTTTTTTGAGAAGTTACTTCTTTGCAACCTTTTTGCTAGTTTTTCCTTTGCCACCTTTTTGCTAGTTTTCATATCTAAAGGTTGCTCTCGAACCTATTTTATATTTTGCCAAACTTCCGAAGGTTAGATAAGAAGTTGCAAAATGTGTCATTACCGGCCTTTATTTACTTATTTATTTCTTTTAGGTTGTACTAGCCTTTATTAATCCCTCACCCTTTAAATATACTTTTCCACGAGGTTTAGAACCCAAGAGTGTCGATGAATATAAATGGTAACTTTACTTGCTTTAACCAGATCATCGAGCATGTCTCTATTACCAGCTAAAATCAAGTCTAGGCAATGTGAAACTCAAAGAGATCAAAATATCTATGTACGCTTGTCTATTAACATTTCTCAAACTTTTACATTGGCAGAAGAAATATTTGTCGCCACCTAGAACTTACATTTCCTTCATCAATTTCATCTATCATTGAATTAACGAATTATTTGCTTTGTAGATTTCTGATATATTGACAGATTTTAGAAGTATGGTGCCTCATGGACTATTGGCTTAATTGTTTGTAATAGATGATAGATTCTTCCCATAATGTTCGACCATTAGACATCATTGTGCATCTTGATTTTTTTTCCATCAAGTTATATACTTTACTATATTGATTGTTTCCACCTCATTTAGATAAGTACATAATTTTGAAATAGTTTAGGACCAAAGCCACTAAGTCTAACATTTTTTTGAATTAGGGGTCTTTGACTAAGTTAAAAGAAAGGGCATTTGACTGGCTGTTTCTAGGTATTCTTATCCTTGAAGCTTCCAGCTATTTAAGAAATTTCTGAAATTGTTTATCAAGTTTTAAGAGTCAAACTAGCCCTTTAGATGCTTTGTGCTTCCTTGTACGGTTGTACCATAACAGAAGAAAGATATCAGGATTAATATGAAGGCATCTGAGACTTATTTCCTTCATAAATGATACGAGTAACTTGTTATTGCTTTAGCAGGCTTAAATTGTCGGGCTTATTTGATAGGAACTGGGGTTTAATTATGAGATAATTAGTTAATATATGACTGGTTATATGGGTATTAAGAGTTTGTTGAAGTTGTAAGAAAGGTTTTTTTACTAGCAAGTGGTTGCAAATTAAGGAAGGGGGCAAGTGAGTAATCCAAATAAGTTGGAATCAGAAGAGGACGGGGAGCACTCTCAAATTATTTTTCCCTTGTAATCTTTTCCTTGTCTCAGTATTTATATTAGATTTGTTCTTACCATTATCCCATCCAGGGAGGTAATTGATAGCACAATAAAGGTGGGTGAGGTGAGTGCTCGTTTGAAACAATTGGAAGTAGCACTGGATACAGCTCAAATTGATAAACAAAAGGCAGAAACTGAGGCTACACTTGCAAAAGAAAAGATTGAAGCATTAAAGTTAGAAGCTAAGCAGAATGAATTGCTTGTAAGATTTTGTTCACTTACTTTTCAGCCTTCTACTTGGTATATTCACAAATGTGGAAGTAGATAAGGCAAAATGTTTTTATGGTCTTTTTTTCTTTTTGTTTTTGATTGTTTTTTTTTTTAAGGAAATGCAAATCTTCATTGATGGAATGATACAAGAAACTTCAAATGTTTTATGGGTTTTTTTTTGCTACTTAATACCAATATTAAATTCTACAAGAGTCTGATACATCCTGCAATTACTATTACGAGTTTTGGCTGTTTGTGTTTTTGATCTTGTTTTCAGTATGCTATTTCATGGTAGTATTAATTATGAGAGGTTCTATTCGTTTTATTTTCCATGAATAAAAGTAAATTTCTATCTTTATAGATATTTTAATAAGAAATACGAACCAAAGAAAAAGAAAATACAACAAAAGCTGGTTTAGAAGTCCAACGTTGAAGGATCAACCTACACAGTTGCTTAAAAGCAGAGTAATCCCATAAACTGTGTGCACAATATGAAAATAAAGGAAAGGAATGTAACAATTACTAGTATGCCTCCCACTTGTTAACAGCTGTAACAAAAGACAATTTTTTCAACAACTCTTTTGTTATTAAAGGTTATAAAGACAGATTTAAAATGAATTATATTCCAAAGATTGAATATCACTTTCTTTTTCTTAACAGTTGCATGTATTTCTTTCTATATGCTTGATATTCAATTCTAGAATATTTTATTTGTATTTAAATTTCCAGGAAAGGAAAGCTTTCGTAGTTTGACCAGATGAGTTCACCTATTAATTTTTTTAGTTGGCAGGAACTCTAGTTCAGCAGGATTCCCTGTAATTTGAAAGTATTTTATGAAAATTAGACATGGAAACATGACATAAAACCTCATTTGAATTAGTTGAACATTCTGTTATATATTTCTATGTAATACAAAGTTTATTATTGATGTGTATATGTTTGATGTAGATTGACAGTATATTTCGAATCAATTTTATTGGCATGTGAATATCAGTTTTAATATCTATGCAAGGTTTTTCACCTCCGAATCTTGTTGTATCATTCTATCTGCTTTCTCAAAAAATTCAGACCATTTTGGAAATCTCTGTTCCTTATATTTTTTATTTTATTTTTAAAAGATTTGGTAACCTACTGTTAGTTTACTGTAATCCTGCATCGCGTCTTTCATTTGGACACTTATGGGTGCTACTTGCTAGTATGCACAGTTAGTACCAGTATTATTTACCATACACTAGTACTACTGTTTTTGGTTCACCTAAGGGTTGAAAATAAGTATTTGTCAATTTCAGCTTCCCATGGTTACTGAAGAGAGAGATAAATTGAAAAGTCTGGTAAGTGAGTTGAAGGGTCTGAAAAATGATGATACCAGGTCTCAAGTGGCAAGTGAAAATCTTTCTCAGGTTTGCACATTATCATTTGTTTGACAAACTAATTTCATGTCAGTGTTCTGAAGGTCTTGATTTGTGGCTTGCTTTGATCTTGCAGGATCTAGACTCGGCCCTTGCAAAGAAAGATTGGTATATTAAAGAATTAGAAAGTAATTTACGTGAGCAAACGGAAGTTAATAACCAACAGCATGAGGAGATAAGGTTGTTGAATGAGAGATTGAATAATGAAGCGAAAAGAATAAGGTCGTTAGAGAGGGATTGTGATCGGCTTCGTTCTGAAATTTCTCTATTAGAGTCAAAGGTAAGTGACAAAGTTATTGTAAGGATTGCAAGTCATCAGATTATAAATATCTAAAATGGTTCTAGTCTTGATTCATTTTCTTGTGATGGAAGGAAATTTCAGTAAAACATATGTATTTTTTTTTGAACAAGAAACGAACTTTTCATTGATAGATGAAAAGGAACATAAAATGTTCAAAGATACAAACTCTCAAGGGAGGTAAAAAACATAAAATAAAAAGATACAATCCAGAATAGCAAAAATAAAAAGACAGAGTATCATCCTGTGTATGTCTAACTAGGGAAAATGAAAGCCCCCAATTAACATATATCATGTTTGGAGAATAAGCAAAAAGATTGGATAGAGCACACTATTGAGACACTTTAAACTTAGCCAAGCTGAAGCACTCCACTGAAGGTCTTCTTCGAGTCATAGTCTTATTACTAGCTTCCATTCTGTTAGTTGTATCATTTTTTGTCAGTTAGACTTTACATAAGTAAAATTTACTGTATAATAATCAAATCATCTGAGGGCAACTTCAAGACACAGACATGATTCAAGGTAGTTGAAAACTCCATCCTCACTTATGATCTAAAAGAAATCTTAAATGCTTTTTTAGTTGCATGAGCTTCTCTTATGGTCATACTTAATACTTAATTTGAATAGCACAGATCATCTGATGTAGACTCAAATGAAAGAAGAGTAGTTTTATTCCAATTGCTTGAGAGAATACAAAGGAGCTTCCTATTCATAGACAAATAGGCTACCCTAAAGGCTTTTAATTCAAGCCGATAAGACATGCTAACTAAACAACTAAAACATAACTAACTTAATGTATAGCTAGTTACATCAATTTCCCTCCCCCTAACATAAGACTCGCCTTCGAGTCAGGGTGCCAATGCGAAGGTATCCGGTGCTTCATACGGATAGATATCAGTAATATTGAAGATTGGGCTGATATTAAAATTCAAGGGAAGCTTGATTTTATAAGCATTCGGGCCGTATCGTTGTAGGACTTCATATGGTCCGAATTTCTTCTTTTGTAGTTTGTGAGCAGACCCGATAGGTAGTATTCCTTTTGAGAGATGTATCATGACGAGGTCGCCTTCTTGGAACTCTACTTCACGTCGTTTGATGTCTGCTTTAGCTTTGTATTTGGCATTAGCGTCCTCAATATGCTTGTGGACATCTTGATGCAACCGTTGTATTCGTTCTGCCATTTGTTCAGCTTCCAAACTAAAGTCAACAGAAGATGGAATTTTAGCCAAATCAACAGTCAGCCTAGGGAGTTTAGTGTAGACTATCTCGAATGGGGACTTCCCTGTGGTTCGGTTTTGCATATGATTAAATGCAACTTCTGCGTGTGCAAGGGCCAAGTCCCATTGTTTTGGTTTGTCACTACAAAGGCATCGGATAAGGCTTCAAAGCGTTCGGTTTGTGACTTCCGTTTGCCCATTCGTTTGTGGATGATTTGCAGTGCTATACTTAAAGAGATGTATCAAACTTCTTCCATTTTGTCTTCCAAAAGTGACTAAAAAATTTTACATCTCTATCTGACACAATTGTTTTTGGGATGCCGTGTAAGCGAACAATTTCCGCGAAAAAAAGGTTAGCTACATAGACAACATCAACAGTTTTTTTACATGCCAAGAAATAGGCCATTTTGCTAAAACGGTCAACCACAACTAGAACTGAATCGTACCCTCTCTGAGTTCGTGGTAGTCCTAATACAAAATCCATTGATAAGTCTTCCCAAATGGTTTTGGGAATGGGAAAGGGTGTGTATAGGCTAGTATTTTGTTTAGTTCCTTTATTGGTTTGGCAACAAAACATTTTGAGACAAAACTAAATACATCTTTTCGGAGTTGTGGCCAAAAGAAACGTGTAGCCACTAGATTTAAAGTTTTATCTCTTCCAAAATGTCCAGCTAGGCCACCAGAGTGTAAGTCTTTGATGAGGGCTTCTCGTAAGGATGTGTGAGGAATACAAAGTTGATCTCCTTTAAAGAGGTAGCCATTGACTAGATGGAAATCGCCGGAGTTATTGTGATCTGTACATGTTTTCCATATTTCATGAAAATCTTTGTCATTATCGTAGGCTGTAGGTAGGTTAGAAAATGCTGTAATTTCGCCTTTTAGTAAAGTTAGAAAGGTTCCTTTTCTACTAAGGGCATTTGCAGCTTTATTTAGAGTTCCATCTTTATGTTTTATTACAAAGTCGAAGCGTTGAAGAAACGATAACCAGCGGGCATGCATTCGACTAATGGATTTTTGTGTGTATAAAAGTTTGAGAGAGAAGTGGTCCGTAAATAGTATAAATTCTTGACTTAAGAGATAGTGTTTCCATTGTTTTGGGGCTCTAATTTTTTGTGTGTATAAATGCTCGTATGTGCTCCATTTCTGACAATATGGGCTAAGCTTTTCACTAAAGTACTCCATCGGTGTTGGTTTTGTGATAAGACAGCCCCAATTCCTATACTGGAAGCATCTACTGCTACTTCCAAAGGTTGTGAAAAATCTGGTAATCGTAGGATAGGGCTTTGGGTAAGATTTTGTTTTAGAGTCACAAAGCTATGCTGTTGGTCAGTATCCCATTTGAAGTTTCCTTTTCTTAAACAATCTGTCAAAGGACTTGCTAAGGTACTAAAGTCTTTAATAAATTTTCTGTAGAAGGATGCTATGCCAACGAAACACTGTATGCTTTTATAGAATGTGGTTGAGGCCAATTAGTTATTGCTTTAATTTTGGAGGGGTCCATTTGAAGTCCAGCAGCACTAATAATAAATCCTAAGAAAGAGATTTATATTGCTAGGAATAAGCATATTTTAAGGTTTATGACTAGGTTATTTTCATTTAGTGTTGCAAACCAAAGTTGGAGGTGTGAGGTACTCTTCCCTTGTTTTACTATACACTAAGATATCATTAAAGTAAACAACAATGAATTTATGGAGATAGGGAAGGAGGACCTGATTCATTAGTCTCATAAATGTGCTTGGGGCATTTGATAACCCAAAAGGCATGACCAGACATTCAAACAATCCTTCGTTGGTTTTGAATGCTGTTTCCATTCATCCCTCGGGCGAATTCTAATTTGATAATAGCCGCTGCGAAGGTCTATTTTTGAGAAGATTTCAGCCCCGCCTAATTGATCCAATAGTTCTCCAATGCGTGGGATGGGAAAACGGTACTTAATGGTGATTTTATTGATGGCGTGGCTGTCTACACACATTTGCCACGATCCATCCTTTTTTGGGGTGAAAAGAGTTGGGACCGCACAGGGACTTAGGCTAGGTTGAATGTGACCCTTCTCTAGGATTTCAGCAATTTGATCGTGGAGAATCTTATATTCCTTTGGACTCATCTTGTAGTGTGGGCGATTAGGAAGGGTGGCTCCAGGTAACAAGTCTATATGATGTTGTATGTCTCTTAAGGGTGGTAGGGAGTCATGAGGTTGGAGTAGTTTGGGAAATGTATCTAAAAGGGACTCTACTGATGGAGGGATAGTAGTAACTGGGGTTTCGACGAGGGAGGTGAAATCTTTCACGATCATCCCTAAAAAACGAGTAGAACGATGTAAAAGCAGCTGTTTTCCACTGCATATGTGGAACAAGTTTGCTTTGTTTGTTGGTTTGACATTGTAGAGACTAAGATTGGAGAGAATCCAATGTTATGTATTCTCATTATTAAAGTCTATATATATAGACAAATATACAAGGTTGACCTAATCCTATAAGGAGAAGGTAAATGACAAATTAATATTAATACAAGAATACAAAATATACTAATATCTATACTCTAACACTCCCCCTCAAGTTGGTGCATATATGTTAATCATGCCCAACTTGTTAGACAAATAATCTATTCGTGCTCCATTCAACTTGTGTTCTGTGATTTTTGATATCATTGGGATCACCTCAGAAGTTACGATTGATTTCTTCTCAGCCATAACAAACAAACGAACTTATTTGAACAAAACGACATAACCAGACCAAACCAAATCTGAAGGAGAAAAGAGAATTGAACCAAACCAATTGAATTGAAACAAACGAACCGAACCGAACCAAAATCGGTATAAATCAACCAAACCAAACCGGAATGTGATGAACTAGACCAAACCGAACTTGAACCGGATGAACCAAACCACTTGAAACCAAACCGGTTGAACTGGACTGCTTGAACCAGATCAGGTGTTTTCTGAAACCAGAAACCCTAAGTGCTACCCCACGACAACTAGAGGGGCGAAGGCGATGGGCGGTGACGGAAGCGCACGACGACTGGCAGCGACGAAGGTGCAAAGGACGGCGAGACGAAACCCACGAATAGCAATTGGAAAACAGCAGCGGCGGTGGTGGTCGGTGGCGGCAGCATCGGTAGTAGTGAGTTGAGTTGGATAGCAATGCACAAAACCCTAAGGGCACAAAACCCTAATGGGCACAAAAGCCTAATGGGCATCAAAACCCTAATGGGCACAAAACCCTAACCATCAAAAGCCTAATGGGCATCAAAACCCTAATGGGCACAAAACCCTAATGGGCAAGAAACCTAGAGCTCTGATACCATGTAGAGACTAAGGTTGGAGAGAATCCAATGTTATGTATTCTCATTATTAAAGTCTATATATATAGACAAATATACAAGGTTGACCTAATCCTATAAAGAGAAGGTAAATGACAAATTAATATTAACACAAGAATACAAAATATACTAATATCTATACTCTAACAGACATTATTGGGATTTGTTAGGGGAAGCAAGACCACGGTCTTTCCCATCCAAACAAATTCATAAGTATTCTGCCTCCCTTTGTGCATCGTCTGTGTGTCATATTGCCATGGACGACCCAAGAGAATATGGCACACATCCATGTCTAAAACATCACACGTTATCTGGTCTTTATAGTTGGTTCCAATAGAGAGGGGAACAATACAAATGGTATTAACCAAGGCTTCCCCTCCTTTTCGGATCCAACTGACCTTATAAGGAGATAGATGTGGTGACAATTTGAGATTTAGGGTGGCAACC